ATTAAACAAACTGTATTTCCCAGAGAAGAGGTGGATGCGGCTGTAGGCATTTATTTGGCGGTGTAGTTGAAACAAATGAGTGCAAGGTGGATGTTGACACGGGCTTTGCGCCCTGAGACAGGCGAATGAGTGAACAGGAGACTGTGAATGCACTTGTAGCAATTTTCGTGTGTGTATGCCTTAAGGTATTCAATCACAATCTGGGCCGCGGTTAATTTTTGAAGTGAATCCAGGTCAGTCAAATCAAGTCAAAACAATGTTTCTTTTATGTACGAGAGTGGGTGCATCTTCGGTATTTTACCATAGCTACTGCGTATGGACTAAGTAGTACCGTTAGAATGCCGAATTATAGAGCTTAAATTGTCACTCGGGATACGCGGGTAACAACTGTGGGTTTCTGAGGTGAATGCACAGTAGTTCATCCCGGCCGTCGCTTTCGCGTCCTGCTCAATTCACAGCATGATTTATCAGTTAAAATTTTTGATGGAAAACATGTTGAATGAATACCAGTTGCTACATTGAACAACTGACCGTGACAACAATCTATGAGTAATATGTGATCTGACGTGAATGCTAGCCATCGGTTCTTATCGATTTGTGATAGAGGAAGGAGGTTGAAAACACTGTGTTAAGTTTTACAGACCTTAGTTTGGATAGATCAACGAGCTGACTCCATGATTAAAAGAACACTTATCTACACTGCTCTTGGGTCGTTCGTCGCTGATGCACTAGATTCTTGTTTGGTATTCGAGGCTCGCTGATTTGTAATCCATCGTCATGTTATTCACAACTAAAATCTCCATAGGAAATACTTAACTTCCCTTACACACATGTTTGCGCTTGTCGCAGTATAAAGGACTTTCAGTTTACACGCTGGTAATATCTCTGCACAAAAAGCATTACAACAATGGACTTAATTTTAAACCCCGCTGGAGGCCTTACTTTTTACCACCTTCTTTATGGCGTTGCTTGCTAAAGAAGGGGGTGCCAGAGAAATATGCCGCCATCTTACGAGCACTTTACCTTCATACATCCGACAGAGTGAGGGTCTATGGCAAGCTTTCTTCGCAATTCGCTGTCAATAGCGGTGTGCGACAGGGCTGACCTATGTCCCCATTCCTCTTCAACTTCGCAGTCGAAGACGTTCTGCCGAATACCATGGAAGGTTTTCAACATTTTGGCCTAGAGCTTCTACCGGGTGAGGGCGCGACCGACTTAGATTATGCTGATGATATCGCCTTACTTGGTGACGATCCTCAGGGTATGCAACTCATTCTGGAGCGTTTGGCGGTTGAAGCATCTAAGTATGGCATGAGCATCGCCACATCGAAGTGTAAAGTACTGCTCAAGGATTGGCTTTCCCATGCTCCCGTGCTCACTCTCGAAGGTGCACAACTTGAACAGGTAGATAGTTTCGTCTACCTAGGGAGCTGTGTTTCTGCTGACGGCGCTATCAACAAAGAAGTTTCGCTTCGTATCGCTAAAGCTCGATCAGCATTTGTCAAGCTGAGACACTTGTGGCGTCGTCGTGACATCTCATTCTCACTAAAGGGCCGCATTTACAGCGCATCAGTTCGCTCAGTATTGTTGTATGGGTGTGAGTCCTGGCCGATTCGAGTGGAAGACATGCGTCGTTTTCTGCCTTCGATGCCGGTTGCTTAAGGAGGATCGCTCGTGTTTGGTGGCAGCATCGAGTTAATAGTAATAACGTTCGACGTCGCATCTTGGGGAATGCAAGTATTTCCTTCAACAAACTAGTTTTGTTGCGCCAGTTAAGATGGCTCGGTCATGTCCTACGCATGGCACCTGAGCATCTACCGCGTCGCGCTCTATTCGCTCGCCAAGGACCTGGCTGGAAGCTACCGCCTGGTGATCAGCCTTCCACTTGGCGGCAGCACATGAAATCGCTGACGTCGTGTTTAGCCGCTGTTGGATCCGTACGTCTTCCAGGATGGGGACCTAAAGATGAGGAGTGCCAATGGCTTAGGACTCTTGAAGACATGGCCCGCAACCGGAATCAGTGGAAGAATTGTGTGCAGTATTGTATTGATTCACATGTTTAATACTACCAATATTGAAAATGACAAAAAAGAAAAAATCGGTGTGTGATAAACAAACTAAAAAGGTTTTTTTCTACTTTTTGTCAAAATGTTCCATTCTTCTTGCGGCGTATTAGCTGAAGTGTGTTGCCCACCTTCAACTACCATGCCACGATGAGTATGACGCAATGACTCTCTCCTATCCACTGATCTCCAAGGCTTTGTTGGCTCTATGTCTAGTTGCTAGAATGTTACATATGGAATTAGGGTCCATAGGTCCTATGTATTCATCTGAGTAAAGTCAATATCTGATATGCTGACTGTTTCCTAAAGATCAAACAAGTAATTACCAAATAATCCACTATTAGAGACTGGAAGATTTATAGTTAGTTATGTGATCTGCAAATCTAGCGTTGAGTGAGGTAAGACCAGACAACACCTTGAAATTTTTCTACAATTTTTTATTTAGCACGTAGGTTTTTGTATAAAATGTTTTGGATAAAATCACTGCCATCTTCTTTGTAACTATTGCCATTTGACACCGGTTTTACTTACGAAGGTAACTTAACATCCAGCACTATTTATGTTTTAGGTCAACACTGAAGGCAACGAGACAATATTATTTGACTTTGTAAGACATGTTGCAAGCTTAACACATAAATAGCACTTAATGGAATGCAACATGTGCAACAGTAAGCTCTCAACTATTTGCCCTGCTGCAAACTAACAAACAGTACTCGAATTTAAAACTATCTGCAAGAATACGTCTGTATGAATCTTATATACTTTCAAAGCGTAGAACAGAGAAGATGAAGACTTTCTTACTAGCCATAATCAATTTGTTAACACCCTCGAGTGGAATATTATGCGCAGGTTTCAGCCGGCGCTCCACCGCTCATCGCCCACTCTTTGTCCGCCACAGCTTAGGACTAGAGGAGGCGACACGAGACAGTGCAGGCTGATTCTATCACCATTTGGCCCGAAGCCTTCTTAGGGAAGGATTAACCAGAGCATAGCTGGCGCATCCAGTTTCAGGTTTACCTGTCACTACGGCCTCGATAAGACAGCCACGGGATGCCTGTGCCTACACGACTATCGATGACTTGCGCTGCACTACCCACACTCCATTCACGCAACTTATATCAAGTGTAAACCCGAAGGAATGTGACCGGTATACATGTAGATGCGAGCCATGTAACATTAGCGGAGCCAGCCCACACTCCTTTAACAAGAAGTGCGGCAGTATTCATGCCTAGTTGGAAAATCAAGCGGGGGCTGTGCCGTAGTCCGTTCCACACCAGATGCATGGAAGCCCACTTTGAGTCTAGCACTGCCACGAGGACCTTTCACCCCGTTCCCCGCATCATAGCTTAGCAGCCTCCTGAAACCAATACTCGAGGTGGAGGGAGTTAGACAGTTACGCACCATATCAACTTTCACATCAAGCGCAGCCACACCGGGGATTTCAAGCGCCCAAGATGGAATCTAAAGAAAAATAAACGCAAAAATTTGCCAGTGCATATGCAAGAGAATAACTGAACTGAGCGAATACATAGAGTTGAATAGATTTTATCCATGTTAATAGGGTCTATTCTAAATGAAAGTCGGTATAGCTTAAATGCGGTTAAGAAGCATGATGTATATAACAGCTACCTTAGCATGAGGCGTGAGGCGTTATTACTAATTGAGTGAGGGTTCCTTCTTTTATATCGTCGTTGCTTGTTCGGCTTGTTCGACAGGCCATTAATGCAAAACGTTGTATCTGCGCCTAAAACCTGGCGTTAATCCGTTTGTTTGATTTGTCTGCCTGGTATTCTGTTGTGCTAGCGTTATCCGCTAGTGTAGCTGATCCAGTAACTGTGCTGTTGCGTCAGTCACATATAAGTCAACGGGTCGGGGTATTAAATTTGTTGTGAAGTACAACCTGTAGGCTTCTTACTTCAACTCGCAACTATCTTTATGTAGCTAAACTCGAAGAAAGAGCTTGATGCTCATGCGTGAAGACCACAGAATTTGGGTTCGTTGCAGTATGGTAAGCTCAGGGAGTGTACGTAAACCACACGCATTGTTCGTCACACTATGAAATCAATTCCTTCGTAGCTAATGGCCAACGAGCCTAGAGATAGGAGAAGTTGGTAACTGCTAGTGAACAGCAACATGCAGGATGAGTAGTAGTAGTAGTAGTAGTACTTTTAGTAGTAGTGGCATTAGTAGTAATAGCAGTAGGAAGGATTTTAATATAACTAGGGTTATTCATCATCGTCACTTCCAATTAGCAGGTTTAGGCTGTGCTGGAAAGCATCAGCCGCCGGCGTTTCGACCTTCTGGGTCTCGTCAGTGGTGCGCCTCCCAGCGGACCCCTGCCGGGTTCCGCCCTCATGGCTTCAGCATGTCAGCACCTAGTGCCACTTCGTCATGGGTGACAGCCGCGGACCTGCGTGTTTGACAGTAGACTATGATATAGCCCGGCTCATCTTCCACAGTCATGCCAGTTAAGAACTGTACAGAGGACAGTGGCTAGCCTCATGAGCAAGGACTTCTCGCATAGCGCCTATGTACCACATAGGACTTAGAATCAGTATTGGCTATATCATATCCAACTGTCAATCACGCAGGTCTACGGCTGTCACCCATGGCGAAGTGGCACTAGCTGCTGGCATCCTGAAGTCATGGGGGCGGAACCTGGCAGGCGTCCGCTGGAAGGCTCACCATTGACGAGACCCATAACGTCGAAACGCCGGAGTCTGGTGCTTTTCCAGACTAGCCTAAAACCTTCTGATTGGGAGTGACGACGATGAATAAGCTTAACATGAAGGATGGTATTCGAATCTGGTTTCAGATGTCTCGGTCTCCATATATATCATGGCACTGGTGCACCACACTAGTTTCATTCTTCACGCAGACTACCAGCATGCTAGTGATTTTAGAAGCCTATTATCTTGATTGAATCTTTTTCTTCAGCCAACATATTGCAGTCGCAATTGCCTTCTCGCGTCATTTGGCAAATGAATGTCCCCAGCGAGGCTCAACTGTTGGGTATAACTACAAATGCAGAAAGTGTTCTGGATGAGAAGTTCACTAGCTGCACCAACCTGCCAGAACTGTTGTCCTCTTCAACTCCATGGAAGTGCATAACGCAGTGCCTATTAAAAGATCCATCCGTGCTGGAGATCATACGACAGAACTCGGACGCTGAGGCAGCCAGTTTAATAACAGCGTTACCCAGGTGTGAGATAAGTTTAGAGTCACCAGTTAACTGGTGTTTTCCTGCCTGCATTTAGTGACCGTTGAGGTTTTTATAGTGGTCAGTTGCACCTGATGATTATTGCTATAATATTCCGTGTACAAATGAAAGTTGCAAGACAATGCTCTTGAAGTCCCATATTTCTTGTTCATTGTGTCCAAGAAGTAGTTAGTTATTAAATGAGCCCATTGGCAGCTAGAATTGAGTAACCCAACAACACCTGATATCAACCATGAACACCAGCATATTTAGCTCCTTCCCTAGTGGAATGCTTGAAACATACCATTGATGTAGATGAGGAACTATGTACATTCTCATAGTGCGATTATTTAGAAGTACATGTACCCTGTTTCAGTTATAGAGATTTACTGAATAGATCCAAGGAACGCATTCAATGTTTCTTGGCCGAAGCAGACGAAGTAGAGCTTCGTCAAGTCCTTTCTCTTCTGAGTCGTTGTCCATTCACGGAATCCAAAGCAAACAGACCCGAGGTTGAAGCTCCTGATGGTGACAGTCTTCAGTTGAACACAGACGCCAAGATTGGAAAAGACATACGGCGAGTTGTGTCCGGCAGTAACAGATCAAGTGAATCGTCTTGTTCAGCAGCAAGTTCTGAAACAATTCGTGCCAACTATACTACTCTTGAATGTGATATTTCTCCCAATGATGCTAAGCGCGCTATCCACCGCGCTCACAGCCGTACAGCCTCGGTGAAGCACGTCAATACCTTAAAGGATGAGCACGCTGATCCCTCAGAGGGGCCATCGAGGGGATCTGGTTCTCATGCATTATCACAATCTTTCAGCGACGTAGACTCTCTCTCCAGCTGTGCACAGCGGGTAGGTCTATTAAGTTTATTGCACACCAATGCTGTTAGCATCGGTGTTTCTTATATTGTCAAAACTTTAAGCGTCAAAATGTTTGATAACTCACAGTATTATTACTTGTTTCCCCATACTTTATTCTCTCTGCTAGAGTGGTTTTGCGATTTTGAACCAAGCGCAACTGAGTTCATTAGCCAGCGCAATGGACGCACGTTACAGCACATTAGCGAGCAGACAACAGGCACTTCGCCAGTTGGTACACTTACCAATCATTGACGTGCAGGCTTGCGAAGCCTGGAAAGAAGCAGCTCAAACGGAACCTAGAGAAGATATACAAGAAACCGATGAAGATGAAGCAAACATGGAAGCGACTAACAACGCAGACCACGCATCCCAGAACGAGCCAGTTAAATATGGAGGGTTGAAAAATAGGTTAGCTGAAGCCCTCGATGATGAAGATGAGACCTTATGGGTGAGTTGGACAGAGTCATTTCAAAATGCCCAACCTTCTTGCTGTCATTTGGTGCCGTAGCTTTGAAAGACAAATGCTTATGCAATCTTATGCGGCAATAAGAAGCCTATTTGGCTGATAATGCTCGAGGGTAAATTGTTCATTTATGTTGTCGCTCTGCTACTATGGTCCGACCCGACTTTTAAATCCACGGACACATGACGGTAATAGGTTACTACCCAGTATCTCGTTGTGGCGAAAGAATGTGGAAAAGGAAAGAAAATCGTTCTCGCAAGTGTGAGATCAACATGTAAGCGGAACAACCACGCGCATTATAGTTTGACTGCTTAGCAAGTTAGCCTTAATGTTCTGAAGTTGCGTTACTCATACCCTACCAATTCAAGAACCCGAGGTCTGAATATTTGCGAACTTAGGCAACGTACATCTATAAGGTTCATTAGATTCGATCAACATGCATCTGCAATCACGTTCCTTGAAGTCGCACGGTGCATTCTTGCACACATCGTTCACCGAGCATTGAGTTCTGATTTTTCATGGCAAACTTCCATTTGCAGTTTCCAGACGTTGTTCATATCGCACCCACAAGTGACCCACTACATTCCGGTTAACCAATTCCTGTTTTACTACTGAATTCTAATGCCGCAGCGCTTACTAGATGCACCACATGGTTCTATTGTCACTTCGCGTGGTCACGAAAGTGAACCAAAATATCAACTACCCAGTAATTATTAAGAACAGAGCACAATAATGATATCGAAAGTCCAAACGGTGATTGGTTGACCGTGTTCGTGAGTTAGGATTGCCGCTCAATGATCAGTGATGACTCAATACGAACAGAATTTTTCTGTCTTCATCCGTATTCGCAGTAGATTACTGTGTATTGGAGACTTAGAGTTTCTCACTGTAACTTGCGTTACATGTTTGAGCAACTGCAAGCTGTTTCCGGCCTCTGTTGTTGCATCGTATCTGTTTTTTCTCTCTATGTGCGGAGCCAAAGATTACCGGCTGAAGTCATTACCTCTGCGCCGCTGCGTGGTAAGCAGCTGTTAACGCAACGGTTAATGAATGCCTACTTGGTCCATTTAATACACCAACTATGTGAATGGAATGCGGCACCCAGCCTCAAGCTGAACCCCGCTTAACATTGAGGCGAACATAGGTCAGTTCGATTACCAGGACGGTAGCTGAGACTGAGAAATGTAAGGTTTTGCTCGCTGGGAGAACCAAAGTGTAATACCGGTTTTGTAAATTTTTGCCCTCCTCAGGTAGAGGTCGCTAACTTGTGATTAGACTACGGGAATTAGCGATGCCAATTGACGTGTTTATCATTACATTATCTGATACACTCAAACCTGTCTAAGGTGAGCACTAACAGGACCGATAAACCGTTGTTGCCTAGGACAGATGGTCGCCATAAACAGGTCCATGTATAGAGACATTACTCAAGGGAAAACGTTAGGAATATTTTTGGCTGATCACCATAGTCATGTGATCGCCATAGACAGGTGATCGCTATAGCGGATTGGACTGTACTGTAGTGTTATTTCCAATGTACTGGTTTTTTGTTCTGTCAGTTGGGAGGAGAGAGTCCGTTATATCTGTGGCTCGTGACAAACCATCTCGATAGGGAAAGCAGCGTTCTTTGATCCTTGCCTACTTGAACTGACATTAACACTGTGCTTCACAATCATGCGTGTAGCAAGACCTATCCAAACCGACATCGATAAACGCTATCGGCACCACACACGCTATTTTTATAGTGTATTGTATAACACCATGATCTTCCATGGGTCCCAGCATAGTGATTCGGAAGGTAAATGCTACCTTCGTTCTTCCGATTCTTCGAACAGCGTAACATGATTGTAACCGTATTCGATCATGCTAGTATGCAAATCGTTTAGAAGTGCACAAGATCCTATGCCGAGCTACGCTTCGTCTGTACACAAAATGTGACACTGAGTATGATTCATAAAACAGTGAAACAGGGCATAACACAGGTAACAGGGGCAGAGGCTGACATGTCCCGTAGAATGATCAGCATGGATATCACATAAATATGGAAGCATGTTCACCTCGGTGGACCCACCAAGGTACATGAATAAAAATCCTCGAATCCATTATAAATCCATAAGGAATGACAACGATTGGATGTTTGTATGAGCCATCTCATCTTCCGCTGAACACCTGTGAGGTGCTCGCAGTTAAATCACCAACCGAGATTGGTGTTTAACAATAGCAATGAGTCATGGTACAGCGAAATGAGTAGACCGTTAACTCACAAGTGTGACAGCATGGCGATGCAAATACCAACTTCCAGGGAGATATTCTAAGCTTAGTAAACAGGTATGGAAGGAAATTCCGACGATATTCAAGGCGATTGTACTGTTTCACCAGCCTGAGCTAACATCCTTTCAGATTGCTGTTGTAGAAGCAAGCTGTGGTAAAATTAGTCCTGAGCCAATCTTTGCAGTAAGTACAGATGGTCGAACCGAGATCATTAAGTGTAAATTCAGCGACGCAACAAGATTTTGCGGTGTACACGTTCTAAAATTGGGAGCGCAAATGGATGAGACTGTCATGCGTGTTCCCAAGATGACGTATTTAACATCGCCGACTACACTTAGGACATCGTAACCATGTGTACTGCTAAAGTTAAAATCATAATTCGCACCGTTTCAAATTTTGGTGGACGTGATAGTGTTAACTAATTAATAGGGAGGCTTTGACTTGCACGTTGAACCTAACACTTCCCACTATCATACACATTGCAACCATATGAAGATCGAGATTTTTACTATGAAATTAACCTTTGGTGGTAACTTTTAATCTGCGCCAGTCTGAATGCTGCGTTAGTTTTATCCCGCATTGAGGCCGAGGGACATGCAGTGAAGTCCTGCGCTTTACCGAACGCTTCGCTATGCTTCAGTGTTTTGCTAAATCTGGTAGGCATAGCAGAGCTAACCGCTGCAAATGTGTGTATTTGGAACAGATTCACAGTAAGATATATTCCAGATGATTTCGCGGACTATGACGCAGTGTAATGGATATTTGTACTAATATAAAGAAACAAGCGACCAGTGACTGATGCGCATTGCGTTACTGAGTAAACAATTATATACCATTGTCTCTTTGTCGACTGAACATTATGGTTGGTGTAGGTGAGATTTCAGAAGCTGCCACCTATAGTTAAGACAGTTTCGGGAATTTCTCAAGCACACTGCGTAAGTCTAGCGCTCCGTGACTGTCGACGGAATCACTAAGCAATGAATGTCTATGCTCTCTTGTTTTCAGTCTTTAGCCCTCCGCTACGTAAGTAAAGGACTCTCAACCACTCCGCAGAACATCCGGGAGTCTTTTGTTCTACTGAGTAAGTACCAATTGTGTTGCTTTAAACCAGCTTACTTGTTTCACCAAGACAGCAGAAGCAAATGCAGATGGTTTAGAATGGACGAGACGTTCAATTTTGTTGATAATAAGGATTTCTAATGACGTATTACAGTCGAAGTGAGCTACATTTTAAACAACCCAGAAAAGTTCACTGATCGAGTTACGACATTGTTGTTTTACTATGATATATTGTTCAGAAATGTCGCGGGGACACGTATTTAAGCTAAAATTGTGTTTGTAGGTAGGCTTGCACTAAGCCTTTTTTCTAAGAGCAAAACACAGCAGTTATGGAACGTCAGCCGTTTAATTCAAAGCAGAGTTTGATAGTTTGTCTAATGTTAAGGTACCCGATTTAGTATAAACGGCTTTGTTGCACACTTGTCTAAGCCACATGAGAAAAGTGTAACTCGAATTTGACTGTGTTAGAGTATGATAGGGTTCCACCAAGTTCTTCGTGTTGTATCACTCAAATTGTTGGTCGTAACAGGAAGGTTTCACGCAAAGAGTAGGTGGACCTACTCCGATACATTGAACTTTTGCTTGCGCCTGTTCGCTGACCCAGCGTATGTAGAAAAGAGATGAAGGTTTTCCGTCCTATATGGAGCCAGACCATAAAGTGAACTGTAGCTTATTATGCCGTAGGTGTCATTCACTGATCTATCTTCGAGTATGCACAACGTCGCAGTCTGAAGGGATTTACTAGCGAACGTTTCGTCTGCGACCAAAGTTTTGGGAAGTAGATGAAATACTATCAATACTTGTTAGTTGCGGTGGTCAGCGATAGATCAGCTTCGAATCTTGTACTTCTGCCTTAGGGAAGAGGGATAATTGTATTCCACCGAAAGAGCTCAAAGTGAATGTTCATCAAATATAACAAGAAAATCCACACAACCAGGTTACTATATGTTTTAGTTATTCCCCACCTTCTAATACACAAATAACGATTATACTACAAGTTCATTCTCACATGATGTGTCGATTAGTTACCAGACGACACATTCATTCTGGTCACATAGACGTTGTGCCGCGGTTAGTTACAAAGTTTGGAAGGCGCTTTTATTATCTGATAACGGCTTCATGCATCTTGAGAACAGAAGGTTCGTGGTGTGGGCACTTCCCTGTAGATTCGCGACTAAAAGTATCGGAGTGCTGTCATAAAAGAAATCGGCTGCTTTGAAATATGAAGGCAGGTATTCGCTACTTTAAGATTATGAACTGGTAAGTGGGCTTTCAATCAACTGCCTGGGGTGGTCGCTTTTGGACATTCACCTTTGACCTTCAGCTGGTAATGTGTTATTTTTAATGATAGGATATTTGTTAGCTGTCTAAACAATAAGGAAGAATAATGGGTCATAATGTAACGATTCAGTGAACTAAGTGGCTACGTACGTAAAAAAAGTCAGACGACTGGCGACGTCAAATCATGTTTTCAAGGTAAAGATCGTCTGGTTGAAGAGGTAGCACGTCTGACACCGGAAGTAGCTCGCTTCTCTCCTAATAACCGTGCCAAAAGATCTCTATGATGTCCAATAACATCCTTAGGCGCAAGTCATACCCATGGAACTGAAGATCACAGAGGCCTCACGGACTTCGACCAGCAAGTAAAGTAAAGTCAAACCAAGCTTTGAGTGCCTAGACGGGAACATTTTAAACCATCTTCAACATCAACTTTAGATGGATTAGTAGGGTATCACCAGAAAGGCAAATTTGCGTGAACGAGGTAAGGAGTAGAGTGTGTGGATGTCAACAGAATAAACGCGACGGTACCAGCAAGCAACAATGACACATTTATTGTCAGAACAATCCGGTCATGCATTCAGTCGACAGGACAACGTCCATGCGCTGTCCAACCAGAACGACGCGTGTTTGCTAAATACACTTGAGAAATGGAACTTGTGAGTAGAAATGAAAGTGATAATTAAGCGGTGACCACCGTGTTGTTCCACCGCGTTAGTAACTAAAACGATATGTGTAGGGTTTGTTTCGGTAGTGTATTCTCATATCCCTTTAAAATGGACCGAAAAGAGATCGTTTGCTCACCTACTGTGGGGTGGAGGTGTTGAAGTAAATGAACTGCACATCAGGCCTGGATCTTTATCTCATTTTTTTCATATCCATATTCAAATAACAAACGATCCGTTAGAATGGGCTGTTACGAAGTCGGCTATTGTCTGACAATTCTAGCGTGTTTGCTGTCATCCTTTAGGCAGATTCCTGAGTTACAGTGTGAATGGATTAGTTAGTCTCGGTGTGAATTTGCTTCTCAAGCTGTTTGTTGAAAGCCGGCCGGGAGCTGCTTCACCGAGGCGCCCTTAAATACACTATGCAACCCCTTGTTATTAAGTGCTTGATGTTACCAAGGCGCTAACCTTTGCTAAAGATAGATAGATAGATAGATACTGAACATAATGAATCGGCTAATTAGTAGCCGCATCCTCATCCGTAGAATTATTTCCTTCTTTCACATCATCAACGTCATCATTACACATAAGCTGAAAATGAGAAAAACACGTCAACTGTTGTGCCGCAATGCGTAAAGACAATACATATGAAGAAAGAATGACGTGGAAAATCACCGAATGCTAAAAACGCTTGACAGACTAGTAAGTAACAGATCTGTCTCAAGTGGGAGGTCGAGGTTGAAGGGGGGAACATAATCAGGATGGGGAGAGACAAAGAAACTCATAACATTAATGAAATCCAGGTTGGCTGCTTGCCATCTCAACTAGTGTATCCAACCAAACGCGTTCATGGTCTTTCGGACCCCAGCCAGACAGTCGTTACACACCAACAGACGCCAACTTCGACATGAGAGATTTCATTCCTCTAGACCAAGTCATCGCTTGGCCACCCCTCCTCCTTTTCCATCTAGACCCCGGGCGCGCAAACAACGCACGTAGCGGGAGTCGGGGTGATGGAATGTGCAACACATGGCCCAGCCATCGGAGCTTGGTGCATGATATAATGCTGCTGAGCGGTCCACTCGCTCTTCCTGTACTAAATATACTACGTCGAACCCGCTCCTTGCTCACACGGTGCTTCCACCATACATGAGCTAAGCTGCAAAAACAGCGATGCTCGAACGTAAGTAGCCTCTTTGTGTATGTCGACTTGATGGGCCAGGTTTCGCAACCATAAAGTAGGGTTGAACGAACGGCTGCATTGTAAACGCTGCCATACAGGGCGAGCGTGATATGACGCTGGTGCCACACAAATATTGGCAACAGCGATTTGAGCTATAGCTATGCGATTTATGATCTCATTTTCCGTTCCATTGACGCTGACATAGCTGCCTAAATGCTTGAACTTCTCGACGAATTCTAGCTGATCCCTACCAACGGTCAGTGCAGGGTTAGATCGCTTCCAATTGTGGAGAAGGACTTTGCATTTCTAGAATGCCAAGCATTTTCCAAAAAAGCTGACAGCCAGTGCTAATTTGTCCATTGATACTTGGCACGTTTGAAAGCTGTGATGGATCAGGGCAATGTCGTCGGCGCACTCCACGTCATGTATTCGGTCATCCTGGAGCGGCTCCACGTCTTGCATGTCGTGTCCAGTGAATGCAGTTTTCATGATCTCGTCGATGGAGAAGTTACAAAGGAATGGTGACAGCGGGCATCCTTGTTAGTTCGTATTGGAGCAGTTACTGGGGGACAACTTTACACCGAGACCGTGTGATGGAGGGTCCAAACTGATGCTTGACTGCTGGCTACTTGATGTTGTAAATCCAAACACTGTCCTTGATCGGTTTTGTAACGTTGTGTGAACATATGCTGTTTATACTGTACGGAAGCATGCGCAGCATCCGTTAACATCCAATGACTGGGTTCTTATCTCTGTTTCCCCACTGCACAGCTAAGTGCTGCAAGTCATGTTCTGTGAACTTCAAGTTAGCGCATCACATTACAGCCTGCATTTGGTGCGCGTTCACGGTGTGTTGCAAATCACATCATCACCTGGCATCCTGGCCATTAGCAATCCTTGGGTCCAGAGGATCTATCTTCCAGAATGATACAAGTATGATGACATAGCGGTTGTCAGTCAGTTAATATCACTAATCCTGAAGAACTAGCAGTAAGAGTGGTTATCCTCTTCATTTGGAGAATCAGTAATTGTCCAATGATTAACGAAATGTGCCTGTGTTTCATAGAGGGATCAGTCAGACATTTCTTGCCTCCAGGATACAGACATCCATTTTGCACCGCAAGCTAGCCCAAAGTGGTGACAAAAACTACCAGGAAGAGAAGGGTGGTTTTCACTCATGTAGGAGAAGTGTACATCAAATATTGACGCTTCGTTAGCTCATGAAATTTCGCCATCACTGCTGCAGACACACTGTCGTTCCGTTTCTGAACATATTGGATTTATTCGACTTAGTAAGCTAGCCTGCTTCATATTGATGCCTACTGAAGAGTGTAGTTCCCGAAAAATACGTCACCATATCTCATGCACCATCCCCCATAATGCACACAAGGTTATAGCCTACAATAAACTGCACTCTTCAATGCCACTAGGTGCATGCAACAAGTATTTTCTGTTTAGAATTTAAGAAGAGCTGCATGCTTTAGGCATAGAACTATTTACAGCCGAAGGCATAACATGCTTATGTTAATCAGATGATATAGAATTGCTCGGCGACGACTTTCTTGGTATGCAAATGGTCCATGACCGACTTGCGGTTGACGCGTCTGGGTATAGTACGTGTCCTTTCCTGTGTAAATGTAAAGTTCAATTACGGGATTGGCAAACACAACTTTTTCAGCACTTCGCCAAGGCATACTTTTTGGGAACGCAGATAGTTTTGTTTACCTCTGTAATTGCATTTCTACCGACGTCAACGTTTGAAAGGAAATATCCCTTCATCTCGAGAAAGCTGGGTTGGTTACTGCCAACTTGAGGCGTTTGTGACGTCATCTCAACTTCTCGTTGTCGTTTAGGGGTAGGGTCTACAATACCGGAGTTCATGCGATGCTGTTGTAT